AGAGGAAAGAGCTGGGAGGCAAAGGGCATTTATAGAGGTCTAGATAAAGACATGTACATATGCAAATATATTTATATGAGGATGGGGAAATAGATTTATGTGCCTGTCTTTATAGGTTTAGTATTAAGGTGGCAGAAGGACATTGGGCCTCCACTCAAGTACTCCCTCAATGCCAGAATACTTCTATTAAATTGGCATTCTATGATGCTCACCTTCCCGACACAACCACTAAAGACACTGACATTTTTTACAGTTATTTTTTACAATTCTTCTGAGTTTGTCTGAGGTTCCCTAATAATTATGATTTTTTTTAAAGGGGACTGGAAGGCCATTAAGTTAATAAATTTAAAAAATTATTAGTTCTTTATGCCAGATTGTTCTAATATTAGGAACAATAGGTATGATGACATTGATAAGGTAGGTGTTGGTTAGGTTTGTTCATTGTAGAGTTAATTCTTTATCACTTTGTAAATAATTTTGGGGATACACTTTGAAATTATAAAAACATTGTTAATTTTCAAACATGTATCTGCCAGTTTTGTCATCCATTGATCATTTTTCTGACTCATCTATCTATACAGACATATTGACAGTGTACCTGGAAGTAATTTTACTTCTTCATTTGTTTACTTATTTAAGTTTTTATGTCAATATGGACTAACAATCTTATTTTAGCCAATATTATACTATTAATAATTACCATACTTGAGTATAATCCGAGTTTTTCAGTACATTTTTTGTGTAGTTTCCGTGGTAAAATTAGGTTCCTCTGCTGACAATCGGGTGGGCTTATACTCGAGTACATAGGTATCTGTCCATCTCATACATCAGGTTTATTGAGGTTTAATCTATGTACAGTAAAGTCGAACTATTTTTGATGTGTAGTATGATGAGCTTCAACAAATGTGTTTATTTGTCTAGTCATTTATCCATCACTTCCCACAAGGGCAGTTCTACCCTTTCCTATAGGGTCACTATGAATCAGCAACCACTCAATAGGAGGAAGCTTTCTTTTTCTTTTGGGTCTGTTTGTCATAAAGATAAGGAGACCTGTTGATTCAGTGGTTAAAGTGCTTGGCTGCTAATAAAAAAGCTGGCTGTTCAAATGCACCTGCCTCTGTATGAGAAAACTGTGCTTGTGTAAAGGTTCACAGCTTTGGAACACTTAGGGAAATTCTGTGCTGCCCAATGAGAGCCTTGATGGCTTGGTGGGTTACATGTTGTGCTACTAATCTCAAAGTTAGAAGTTCAAAATACCAGTTGCTCCACAGGAGAAAGATGAATCTTTCCATTTTATTAAAGATGGACAGTCTTGGAAACCTACCGGGGCCAGTCTACTCCGTCATATAGGGCTGCTGTGATTCAGAATTAAGTTGATGGCAGTGAGTACAGAGCAATGCACTCTAATAAAATTGCTAAAACTTGGGATTAACTTGGTGTAAGAGGTTCTGGTTTTGGTCATATTTGTGCTGCTAAAGTGAGTACTTAAATTATTTTTACTGAACATTGAACAAATATACAAAAACCAAACCAAAATCACTGGCATTGAGTCATTTCCAACTCATTTTGATCCTACAGGACAGTTTACAATTTGCTCCTGAGGGTTTCTAAGCCTGTAAATCTTTACAGGAGTAGAAAAATTCATCTTTCTCCCTTAGAGTGGCTGGTGGTTACGAACTGCTGACCTTGTGGTTAGCAGCCCAACTCGTAACCAACTTTGCCACTAGTTAAATGTGTTAATGATCAGTACCTCAAGGATCCTTACTTAACATGCCCCATTAAATTGATCTTTTACTTGTGGCATTATGGATCATGTCTTCACCACATCTTCTCTCCCTTTTGTACTCATAACCTCTAAAAAGTTCAATGCTATGAAGAACAGAGTTCTATCTTTATTTTCTCATCACGTCCTTCCTTGAACAGATAATACTTTCATTGCTCTCTTTCCAACTTGGCCTTGAGTCACTGCCATGATTTTAGCTGTTGAACAGTCTTTCAAGTTAAGCAGTTAGTATTCTGGTCCAGTATAAATTGTTGTGCGGCTGCCATTCTCACTCAGTCTAGCTAAGGTGGCTTAACTAAGTTCATTATTAAGGTCATGTTGTCAGAGTCATATGACAATTGCATTTCACGGAATTTCCTTAGATATTGATCATTCCAATTCACAGGAAACTAAATCTGGAAATGTATTCTCAAATATTTCTGAGGTTGAATAAATAATCAGCAGTCAAGTACAATCAAACCACATTTATTTTACTTATTTTAAGAGAAAACTTAAACTGTTCTAGTTTTTCTTTACTCTTACCTGATTAAATTTTTCCATTGTGTTCATTATTAAATTCAAACTTGTAATTAGTTTCTGGCATACTGGGAACCGTAGGCAGTCAGTCAGTTCTTTGGAAAGATTGATAGTCTATTGGGTAACACCTGTTCACTAGAAGATACCAGTTACTGTCTGGCTGTGTTCCAGTCAGACTAGCTGTGTCTAACTGTGTGAGCCTTTTGCCATCTGGGTACTTTAGTGCCTCTCAAACAATTTTTTTTAAAGAAAAATTGTTACCTGTGCTCCACATAATGCAGCAATTTTTGAAAGACACTTTAAAGTAATTAAAGTGCTTTACATCAACAGATGTGATTTCGTAGTTGAAGAATATAATGTTTTAAAATAAATTTCTGTAAAATATTGTATTTCACAACAATAATTTGCCATGCAAAAACTATTGGCTCTTATGGTGTGCTTCATTGCTTGATTCCTTAATGTTTGTTTTTAGAATTGAGTATATTTAAAGACAACTTTTATTGTTCAACTTGACAGATGTGGCAAGAGACCAATCTAATGGACCCAAAGGGATAATTTACCCTGTATGCAGGGTAAAGGAGCGTGTAAGATCGAGTTTTCTTGAAGTCCAAGCTATCTCTGTTTATCCCTGTTGAGTGGAAATGTAAAGTTGCCTGTTTTCTCACTTCTGTACCATCTAATTTCTATTTGCATTTGTCTTTTATAGCTAGAAACTGTTGAATGGCAGCTGAACCTTCAGATGGCTCATTCTTCTCAAGCAAAACTGAAATCTCCTCATGCTGTGTTACAACTGGGTGTGCGTGATGAGGATTCAAAGGTAAGAATGGCAGCACAGTGGCATGATGCATTTTGTTTATTAAGTCTTCTACTTTATTGCTTGGGCATTTCTGGATGGTACAACCAGTTAGGTTGTTGATCACTAGCCCAAAGGTTGGGTGTTCAAACCCACTGAGAAGTACTTTCTAAGACAGGCCTGGGGATCTGTTTCTGAAAGTTTACACCCTTGAGAACACCGTGGTGCAGTTCTCCTCTGTGCATGTAGGCTCACCATGAGCCCACCCTTGGTTACACTTCTTTAAATGTTAGGTCATTAACTTGGGTATTTTCATATATAATTTATTTAAATCCATCATTTCATGTACATTTTTGCTAGAAATTTGGGGATTTAAAGCCAAGCTAGCAAGTATATTGATTCAACTTGACAGCAACTAACAATGAATCCTCCTTTATTGTTAGTAGAGTCTTTGCTTTCTGGTTTGAAAATTTAAACATAATTCATTTAAGTTTAAGAAACAAGTATTACCAACATGACAGATCTTTATTTGTGATAGGTTTTGGTGTCAGATTTAAATATCACTTTTTGGTGTATCTGGAGAAGTAGCTAGTCTTGCGAGAGATTTCATGTCTTCTTTTATGTTCTGTAATGGGAAAGATTGATGGGGTTCTTAGAAAATCTTACTTTGCAGGCTTTACATATTTGTGGATATTTTGTTTTTAAAGGTACATTGAGGTAATGTTGTTTGTTGTCTAAGCAATGCCAGGACTATTATGAGGATATGAATTGTGTTCATGTATGTGATAGCATGTACACATGTGTTTAAATATCATCTCTTGGAAACCAATATTTTTGGGGGTATTAATTTCAGAACATCTTGAAAATGGTTATCAAAAATCACAGAGTTGCCTTAGAACAGTTTTTCTTACTGTGATAGAGAAATATGTACTTCAGGTATCACTGAGAGCAATCTATTATATACGTGTCATTAGTTATAGCTCTGTAAGAGTGAAAAGTGGGAAGCAACCTTTCTCATCCTATAAGACAGAGTTTTGAATGAGGTGTTATGAGGATCTGAGAAAGAAAGATGACTATGTCTGAATACATTTTGAGGAATAATACAATCAATGGTATTTATACTGGCCATTGAAGTAAGGGACTTTTACTTCTTAACACTTTCTCACTATTATTAATTTTCCCAGGTGCATTTTGGTTCTCCTGAATGAAGTGGTACTTCTTGAGGGCTGGGGCCAATGCCTATCCATGGTTACACATCTTAAATGTTATGTCATTAACTTGGGTATTTTCATATCTGATTTATTTAAATCTATCATTTCATGTACATTTTTGCTAGAAAATAATACATTTTAGGGATTTGAAGCCAAGCTAGCAAGTGTATTTTCTCTGCCCTGCAAATTTAGTAGCTAACCTTGTGCAAGTTACCTAATCTTTGTGAAATTTGTTTTCTTTGTCTGCAAAATTAGGTAATAGTATCTATCTTACAGAATTGTTAGGAAGATTAAATAATTCAAGATACTATATAAAATGCTTAGTCCAATGCCCATTGTTAAGGTAAATGCGCAGTAACTGCTAGCTACTGTCATTATTATAATTATCAGTGATGTGGTTTTTTACTGAATGCAAAGGTAAACCCTTTTATTTTATACCAACCTACTGCCATTGAGTTGATTCGAATCATAGCAACCCCACAAGACAGTGGCACTGCCCCTGTGGCTTTCCTGGGCTACAGTTCTTTATGGGAGTAGAAAGCCTTTTTTCTCTCAGAACAGCTGGTGGTTTCAAACTGCTGACTTTGCAGGTAGCAGCCCAATGAATCATAACTACTATGATTTAAGTTAGATGGCTGTCATTACATTTATTTCTTGATAAAATTGGCCTTTTTTTCTTTGCCTCGCCTGATTCCTTCCATTTATTTCTTGCTCATATTTTCCGTACTTTTATTGACTAGGAATTGGGAAGGAAAGGGCAGCTTGGAAAGCCCCCTTTTCTCCTATGACCTAGAGAAGCATTCCTTAAGGTGTAGATATGGAATACACAAGCATAGATTACTTCACAAGTGAAAATACATATATGCATATGCACTACAATTAGTCTTACCTCATGTATTTATTTCCAAGTTTATTTCTAAATGCTTGTTTCCCAGGTAACCTTTATTAAATATGACTGCAGGTCTGGTACATTTTTCAAAAATTCACACTCACTGCCACTGAGTTGATTCTGACTCATCTCGCCCCTGAGAACAGGGAACAATTGGCCCTCTGGGTTTCCTTGTAACTCTTTATGGGAGTAGCAAGCCTTGTCTTTCTCTTGAGGAGATGCTTGTGGTTTCAAACTGCTGACCTTATAGTTAGCAGCCCAAAGTAACTACTCTGCCACCAGGGCTCCTGGCTTACATTTCTAGGTGGTGGAAATGAGTGAGTAACGTCTCTCTTCAGCAGCCATGTTGGTAGATCATACTGTACTTCAGGAAGGCAGTGGACATGTCAAGCTCAGCCCATTGGAGTCATGGATTTGTGTTTGGATGCTGCTGTTTTGATAGTTTGAATAAATAGGTAGATGGATTGATCAGCACAATTGGGTGGGTTTGTAATTTGTAGAGCTGGTACATAATTTTCATTGCCAAACAAACAGGAATATTTTCTTTTCATGTTGTATACAGAGTTAAGTCAGCTTCTTTCTCTGTATTGCCTGTGTCATCCACATAGCATTATGTGGATTCAGCCTCACTTTCTATTATCTCCTAGTAAGTAGATCCATAGTGGTGTATGAGTGTACAACTACTGTAAGCCATCTCCAAGTGGTATGTGCCCCAGCAATGAAAGAGAAGAGTACTGCACCCTGTCTCTGGAACCAGTGGCAGCCTGCAAACACTACCTGAAAAGTATTTTTCTTTTGTTTACGTTCTCCCAGTATTTTTAATCTACTCTTTATAATGTTACCTCTTCTGATCCTTTGATGCTAATTTTAAAAATTAACTCTTGTTATTAAGGACCAGAGACTACTTTTACATCATATATTTGTTCTATTCTGAAATGAGAATTGAGAAGAATTCTAGACAGGTTCAAGTATTATTAAAACATTTGAAGATGATTTTTAAAACCAAATTTGTTAAAGAGCTTTTATTAAAAGGATGCTTAGGAAATGTCATTGTTCAGTTTACAATGCAAAATACTATAAAGTACCAAACTGTTATACTTAAGTAAAATTGGCATTGTAGACAGGAAAATTGGTGTTCATTTCTTAAGTGTATATCATAGTATAGTTGCCTTCAAACATACATATATTATAATTTATTCTGCTAGGATTAGAAGTTGTAGAATTTGTGAGAGACTGCTTTTGTGACACTTAATCTTGGGCTGCTGAACTGAAAACTTACTGTAAATTCACTGAAAAATCTGGTTTGTAAAAGCTTTTTCTTCTTTTAGTTCCAACATACACGTAAAACGTGCAGCCTGCAGTGAAGCGTTCATTGCTATCGTCTTAGATAACATTGTTTTACTGTGTTTTCCTCTCTCTTAAAACAGTTGTCTCAACGTTTTCCTGTTTTGCTGCTAAGTTTATCATGAAAACGGGTGATTCTAGCTTTTCCTCCTGTCTTCTGATATGTCTTCTGGGTGTTTCCAGTGAATTGTGTTGCTGTTTGTCTATTGCATTAGGCAAGTAAGCGTACTTTCCTGTTTCACAGAACTCAAAAGGACTTTCTGGAGTTATTTTTATTATTTAGTTTGCTTGATTTCATTAGGGGGCAGTAGCGCTCCTTGCTTTCTCTGGCATTCACAGTGTTGTCTGAGACAACACTGAGAGTAATTTGTGAAGTCAGTAGCTGTGGGAAATGCTAAGTGTTTATATTTCTAATCTGTATAGAACAATAGTCCTCTTGTTTCCATCAACAAAATTAATGCTTATTAATCTGATATGTACAGAACAAATAAATGAAATCGTCATGATTTCAGCATTTGTTAATTTGTATGTGTTCAATGGCCAAAATGAGATTTATTAGACAGTCTTCCACACTATGGACTTTTTTTGGATTTTATTTTGTTACTTCTATTAATCTCTTTATGAGAAAAAGGGCTATATTATCCCCAAGAATTGCATGGATCTATTAGGTTATAGTGCAACTCTTTCCAGTCTAAACACAGAATCTGTTGAACTAATTTATCTAAAAGGGAAAGCAATGTCATATGTAACAAATATGAGTCATTCAACAATGACAGTAACATTGGAACTTCAAAATATTTTAAAAGCTTAAATACCTTACGTTTTAAAAAAATCATTTTATTGGGGGCTCTTACATCTCTTATCACAATCCATATAATACATCCATTGTGTCAAGCACATTTGTACATTTATTGCCCTCATCATTCTCAAAACATTTGTTTTCTACTTGAGTTCTTGGTATTAAGTTCCTCATTTTTTTCCCTCCCTCCCTGCTCTCTCCTCCCTCACGAACCCTTGATAATTTATAAATTATTATTTTGTCATATCTTGCATCATCCGACGTCTCCCTTCACCCACTTTTCTGGTGTCCGTCCCCCAGGGAGGAGGTTATATGTAGATCCTTGTAATCGGTTCCCCCTTTCGACCCCACCTTCCCTCCACCCTCCCGGTATCTTTCGCCACTCTCACCACTGATCCTGAGGGGTTCATCTGTCCTGGATTCCCTGTTTTGTTCTTCATCTTATATTCTTGTATTTTCTCCAATAAATTTGATATTCCAGGCACATATGAGGTGACTTTAAAAAGTTCATGGAAACATTCTTAAAAAAAATCATTCTTTAAACTTTTGAAGTCCCTTAATAGTCAGTCACCTGGTTTCTAACATCTGATTTACTAATAGCTCTTCCAAAATAGCAAACGCATTACTACCATCATCAGTTCTGACTCATAGTGACCCTATAGGACAGGGCAGAACTGCCATTGGAGGTTTCCGACATGAGACTAACTCTTTCAGGAGTAGAAAGCATATCTTAGCAAGGCTGGTGGTTTCAAACTGTTGACCTTGTGGTTAGCAGCCCAAC